TACCCATAAGTACTTCATACAGCAGGGTAGAGCTGGACATTGTGGCTTCTGGACCTTAACTTCATGAGACAGAGGGGTCTGAGGCTTGGAGCTGGGAAACAGGCTTCTGGAGAAAACTGCAGGGAGTGGTAGAAACTATTAGTGAAATGGCAAAACTAACTCCATTTTGTTCTAGCAGACTTTTGCTTTACCCTGTTTTTGACCAGCCATTCCCACTGTAGCCAGCCAGCCAGAACATCTCCTGCAGGTAGTTTCAGGGGCTACATTGTTTCTACAATACTGGGAAACTTACAAGTAGCCAGGTAGCACATCTAGATAGCACGCCCTCCTTCCCAGCTATAGCTGCACCTTCATGGAGCCCATTGTTTCTATAATACTAGGAAACTTATAAGTATCCAGGTAGCCCATCCAGGTAACACATCCTTCTACCCAGCCTAACCAAAACTTATTGTTATCTGAAAACCTTTTTGTTAACTGACCTGCCCCTGGTCTGGTTTAACTATGGTGATCTGATGTAGCTATTGTTGTTGGCTTTACCCCTGGCATGTATAGTTGTGGTTTTTAAGCTTTATAAACCCTTCCCTGATTCTTCAGGGTTGAGAGTTCTTTTGGCATTAGCCCTCCTTCTGACTGCTGGCTATTAGTAAAGGACTCCTAATCTGACCATTGCTGTGGCGTTCCTCTATGATTCTCACTCAGTATTACATTAGGAGTTTGGAAAAGCCAGTGTGCCTGGGTGAGGCACCCACTGTGTGCCTATGTGCCTGCCTTTTTCCCTGTTAGAATATCCATCCTTGGGGACACAAGTAAGCTATGACAAAGCCCAATATTAAAAAACAAATCCTTCTGATTGCTCAAACCCTTGTCTCAAATTTCATTATCATTATTTTGATTTACTATGTCTTATAGATTCTTTAAAAAATTCTTTCATTGATTTTTTGAGAATAATTTCATGCAATCTATTTTGATCACATTCAGACCCCCATCTCCACCTTCATTCTACTGCCTCCTTCCCTCGACTTCATGTCCTCTATTTTGATTATTTTTAAAGGCCTACGGAGTCTAATCTGTGTTCCCCAAATGCTCTTGGAGTCCGGTCAGCCTATCCAGTATCATATCCTTAAATAAAACTGACTCTCTCTCCTACAGCAGCTAACAATTGCCAGTCTTCATCCAGGCCTGGGGCTTCTTGCCTACCTCTCCTGTCCTTGCTGGGTCATGTAGATTCTTAATAACTGTCCAGTTCAGCTCTTGGAGCAATAAGTATAAAAGAAGATGCTAGAAAAGCATCCAGCCCTACTAATGTTCATGTTTCTTACCTTCAGATTGAATCAACTTTGGTTAAAAACATTTGGGGGAAAATTGACTCAGGAGGCTAAGGCAGGAGGATAGTGACTTTAAGGCCAGCCTGGGCTCCATAATGAGACTGTGTTCTAAAAACAAAAGTGGAATCAGTGCTGAACATGAACAGGCTTTGTCCTGTCATGACTCCTAAACAATATAGGAACTATTTATACAATGTACATTATATGCCATCAAGTCTTTCATATAACATATGTGTACGTTATATGAAAATACATGCTGTTTTGTAGAAGGGCCATCTAAAGATTTTCATATCTATGGTGGGGGAGAGATATTGGTACCAATTCTTCCCTAATAGCTTATATGTAAGGAGTGTGAATCTTCCTTTCTTTGACTGCATTGCTTCTTTGCTCAAAATGTATGTGTGTGTTTTTTTTTTTTAAATATTTATGTGTATGTGTCTGTGTATGTGGTGCCCACAGAGGCCAGAGGAGGAGGTCAGATCTCCTGTAGCTGGAGTTATAGGAGATGGTGAGCCGTCTGAAGTGGGTGCTGGGAACTGAATTTGGATTCTCTGGAAGAGCAGCAAGCACTCTTCATCACTGAGCCGGGTTTCCAGGTCCAAAGATATAGATAGCTTATGTTAGACGGAAACTTGTGATCCTCCTGCCTCCACCTCTTTAGTACATCCACCACAACTAGTGTGAGCATAGTTTTAACTGTGTAGCCACACAGATAAACCTTATCCATTTTCTGCTAGGGAAAAAATGTTACAGATTGAAATGAGGAAGAGAAGAGTATGGATGCTTTCCATGTATATCCAAGTGCCACTCAGCTGGATTGAGCACAGTGGTCCATCACACACAGCTCTGACATCTCCTAATAAGATGGCCACACCATACTAGCAACACAGCTTTAACACACCCAAAATACATTGCTGATGTTGGTGACTCCTGTTGGGTCCATTAAAAAAACACACGCGCTTTTAGCCTGGAAAATATAAGATCATAAATCACATGTTGTTTTACACAGAAACTGCCTGTTAAATTTTAATATCCAGCACACAGCCAGCTCTCCTTTCTTCCATCACTACCGGAGGAGAGTATTTCTGCCTCCCAGCATGGGGCTACCTCTCCTGCAAGGCCTTGGAAATTTGTTTGTCCCCTTCCCCAAAATGGTATAAAAATAGTAAACGTAGTCAATGGTGATTGATTAATTTCAAAACATAAATAATGGCTGTAATTGCAATTTTAAAGAGAGATGTTTTCCATTTTGATTAATCTGACCCTCTGGGCCGCTGTTGACACAGAGAGGCACATCAGAATGCTAATCAGGAAATGAATGCAGAGAGAAGGAAGCAGCTCTCCAGGTGTCCAGTTTGCCTAACCTTCCCCAGGGCTGCCCTCTGTTCCTCCAGCCCTTCTGTCTTTTGCACTGTAACTAGAACAGGCCTCAGTCAACCCTGCTTCTCAAAGCTATGGCCACTTGGGAATTGTCCTGGTGGTACTTGGAACACTTCTTCTCTTGGCAATTTTAAAGTACTATGCGCTCATCAGTGACTTGGTGAGTTGGCTGGGTGGTTGGACCATTATCCCAATTCACAGATTAGGAGATGGAGATGTTGAGAGGTTAGCCATGCCCCCTACCTCCCAGCAAGCAGAAGGCATTCTAGCTGTGCAGCTCATAGGAACACCAAGACACCAAGAGAGCTCCAGGAAGCCTCCCCTAGCTGATCTACCTGCTCTTTCTTCTTTCTGGCCAGCCTGGGGCTCCCTGGTCCCTCACTGCTCCTCTCACCCTTTTCCTGGCCCTGCCAGTCACAGCTGAGCCTGGAGAGACAGAGACAGAGACACACACAGAGACAGAGAGAGAGAGAGAGAGAGAGAGAGAGAGAGAGAGAGAGAGAAACCGCTTCTGATAAGCCATTTAGATCTCAAAAGGTTCCAAGTCCCTTTTATATTACAGCGTGGAACTTTGATATCTAGGTGGCAGGGACACAGTCCAGGTGCCTGAGCCAGGAGGCTAGTCCTCTAACTGCTGATACAGAATCCTGTGTGGAAGCAGTTACTGTCCTTGCTTCCTGAGGAGTGGGCCACAGTACACCGTGGGAGAGAGGAAGCAGGGGAGATGGGTTACTTGGAGGCCTGTTGCCTGGGGGAACTTCTCATCTGCCTGCTGCAGCACCCTGCTCGCCAAGTGTATCCTCAGAGCTTTGGGTTACCAGAGCTGATCATGGGACCCTACACTCCCACCTGAGTCCAGTACTTCGTAGAATTACAGCTTTAAGTAAGAACATGCTGGGGCTCAGCTGGGAAGAAGGCCTTGAGACAAGAGAAAGGCAGGGCCGGCTTTACACCTGGAAAAGGTAGACTGGCTAGTTTGAGCTGGTCAGCAGGCAGGACCAGAGGGATTTGGGGTCTGGGGAACAATCCAGAAAACTCCTTCCTTCTAGGCTGACTCTGATCCTAGAAATGCTTTTCACAACCAAGATGCTCAGTCCTTCTTTTCTAGGGAATGCTTGCCTAACAGTCTTCATTTATGTTCTAGAGGAACTGAGAACTGTTTACCCAAAGCCAGAGACTGGAGCCTTTGGGACTGTTAGAAGAATGGAGAAGCCACTGGAAAGCTCTTACTTCTCCCTGCACAGTTTTCTTCACATCTGTCTAGTTGTACTGTTGAGTGGCACTCTGTCAATGTCTAAGTACTGTAACATTTTATCAATAAAAAAGTCATCAAACATGTCCTTTGGTTCATTTGCTCAAAATTTAGCACCTTATATTCTGGCAACCTTTGTACCCAGTTCAGATCCGCCCTTAATTACAGAGGCCCGAGATTGCTTCTAGAACTGGCTGCAGTTAGTCAGGTGTTGTTAAAGGCTGGGCCTCAGCAAGGACCTTCACAGTGACACCATGGCTCCCCACAGGCACTATCAGAAACATTTTTATCTTGGAGCGAAGGGCATGAGACTTTCCCAGCATCTGTGTTCGGAACCTCTTTCTGGTTGTTTCTTTTAAACTGCAAATTTTGACAATCCCCCTTATGTATTTATCTGTCTCCCTCTCTCTCTGTCTGTGTCTGCATGTCCCTCTATACCCTCCTCACCCCTTTTCTTTGTCTTTGGTTTTCTTCTTTGTTTCCTAACACTCAATATAGATATGAAATTCATTTGAACTTTGGTTTGTTTATTTCATATTCTTTCCTTCAATTACAAAAGATGAATGTTTTTATTCCTAGCTCTGTCTCAAAAACAAAACAACCCCACAACTGAGCTCTGTTGTTCGTCTGTGGACCCATACTGAGTCTTTTCTTCAGGGAGTGGGTAGCTTTCTAAAATCAGCTTTTACACTGCATAGGAGCACTTAGAATCACATCCAGTTCAGGAAGGAAAAGCTTAGGATTTTCTCCCCACCTTCTAGTCAATGATGTAATATGAAACTTGTGAGAGCTTTGCAGCTAACACCCTCGGGGCTGAGAGCCCTGTTGGAGAAGCAGCAGGACTGTGTGGTTGGCTGTCCAGGTCTGCATCTGGAAAATGACCATTTGCAACCTGCTTTCCCACTCATCAAGTTCCAGCTGACACTCTGGCTTCCTTTCATGACCTCACCTGACAGAACTAGACAAAAATGACCCTCCCTCCCATTCGTACCCATGTTCTGCAAAGATTCTCAGAAGCTTAAAGGTAGCGATGTATACAGTACCTTCGTATTCAAGAGGTATACTGAGCATGCCCAGAGCCTGCTCACCATCCTTCAGCTCTGCCCTGAGGTGGGATGGGAAAAGGGCAACCACTGTTATGACATCCCCTTTGGAGAATGACAGATTGTATAGTGACCCTGAAAGAAAGCAACCACCAATAGAAGGTTGTCGAAGGCTGACATTAGATTCAGAGGTTTACATCTAGCATTTCTATTGGCAAATGAAAGCCTTAAGTAAAATATGGTTATTCAAATTGGCTAAATATGACAAAGAAGACAAATGAATTCTTCTCAAAATAAAAAGAGGAAAAAAAAGAGAGCACTAACTAATTGGGTAATTCTACATCTTTTATAGAGGCAGAGTCTTAAGAATGTCAGAATGTGTAATTCATTTTAAAGTTAAAATGATTTGAAATGAACAAAGTGATTTGAAATAATTTTCTTTCAAGAAGTTACCATCATGATTTGCCTTGCCCAATGGGCAGCGTGGCCACCCCTGTCATTTCCAGCAGTGAGCCCTATTTTCCTCGCTATAACAATGCAGAGCGAGTGCAGGGTGGCTTTCTCCTGCACAGGCTGAGCTCTCGCTAACGGTAGAAAATGCCTACAGCATTGACATGATTTTTTTGGTTATCATCAAGCCAACAAAGGACAATTTTTCAAGATCACACTTATCTGTGCCTTAGATTTCATGTGTCAAATTGCAGTAATTTCTTAGCAGACTGAAAAATATTCACTGCTCAAAAATAACATTTTTCCCCTTCCTAGGCAATATTGGTGAATAGCTTCCCTCCTTCCCCAACCCCCTGTCAAATTAAAAAAATAAATAAATAAAAAACAACCCTCAACCAGCAGGAAATATGACAGCACATTCTGCATTTAAAGTCAAGCAAAGAGCATCTCTAGGCTGTATATTTCATTCTGCCTAGGGCTAAGGAAAACACTTCAGCAGATAAATATATGACTTCCGTAAACAGAACATTTTTTTCCTCTCTTTTCCAATATGCTACCATCTTGGGAAAGAGATTTCTTTCCCCCTTAAAGTTATTATATATTAAAAAGAAATAGGGACAGCCCCCACCCCCGTTAGGGCAATGATGCTGGTAAAATGATGCTCACTTTTTCATGCTGGTAAAATGATGCTCACTTTTTCATAGAACAGCATCACCCAAGATGATCTAGATACAAGTCTTGCAACCAGGAATGCTAAGCGAGCCTACATTTCTTCCAGCACTTGACAGGTCACTGTTCTACCTGTCCCCAGAATTCCCTGCTGCCATCAGATACGTCGCTCCTACCTGAAAAATAGTTTCCTTCAGTCACCTCCACTTTTCTGGGTAAGAAGTTCTGATTTAAGGAACTGATGTAAGAATTCCAGGTTTGCTCCATTACAGCTGAGATGTTTTTCTCCTGAAGGACATGGTCAGCACTGCTCATGGAAGTGAACTGGCAGCAAAGGCTGTCCCTCGCCAGCAGGTAATCGGCCACTGGTCATGACCCTGACTGTGAGCCAAAGTAACTTGATAGGGAAAACAAGGAAGTAGCTGAACTTGACTGGAAGAAAGAGTTCCTTGGTTCCGTGGTGAAGGCTGGGAGGGGCAGGACACCTGACGCTGTGGAAAAGGCTCTTTGGGAGTGTCTTCCAGATGAAAATATCCCAAAATCTTTTCTGCATAGGGATCCTGTGACAATGAAGACTCTGATTCTACAGGTGGGGGTCTAGTCATCTGTATTTCTGGCAAACTCCAGATGATCTGATGCTGTTGATTCTTAGATGACTCTTTGAGGAACAAGTTAATAGAGATATCAGTGTCACTGGGTGCTACTTGAGGTGAGGTCCACAGATCGGCACAATCAACATTATCTGAGGGTTGGTTAGAATGCAGGTCAGCAAGCCCCTCCCAGCCCTCTCAAATCTGACGGGGCCCAATAAGCTGCAGCCTTAGCTGTATAGCATCTCTGACTTCTATAAGCTTGTTGAGAATACAGACTCTCAGGCTCTACCCCAGGTATCCTGAACCAGAGTCCTCATTTAAGCATGATCCCCAGCTCCCCAGCTGGTGAGTCTACACATTAAAGTTTGAGAAGCACTGATGGAGGACTGTTCTAGAAGAGTGAGAACAACCTTGAACACTTGAACATTTAAGGAGACAGCATACTTCAAATCTAAGGCGTGACTGCCTATCCATGACTACTCTTAATTGAGCATTCCACTGCACACAAAGCTGGACCTACATCTATAGCAGAATTCACCTCACCAACCAGCAGGGCCTTTACTCTCACGTTTTCTCTTCCTTTATTAGAATAGATAGTATAAATTATAGATATTAACAGATACAGCTATAATAATAGATACTATTAGAGTAATATCTATTGTGGAAAATGAAAGTGTAAAGAAATACAGAGTCTCCCATAATCCCACCTCCCAGAAAGAACCACTATTTATATTTTAGTATATTTCTTGTCTTTCCTTGTATGCATTGTTAGAATTCCATGTTAAGATTTATTTATTTTTATTTTATGTGTTTGAGTATTTGCCTGAATGTATGTATGTGCACCACACAGTTCATGCAGTACCCGTGGAGGCCAGAAGATGGCGTGGGGTGCCCTGGAGCAGGAGTTATAGATGGCTGTGAGTTGCTATGTGGGTGCTGGGAACCAAACCTGGGTCCTCTTCAAGAGAAGCCAGTGGCTCTTAACCCTTGAGCCATCTCTCTAGCCCTGAATTCCATTTTTTTGGACTTGATATTATTTTAGAACTTCAAAGAATTTTATCAACACAATTTTAATTCCTATAAATACCTAAATAGTAGACATTAATAAACTTTTTTGTACTAATGTTAGACACTAGGCCACTTAATTTTTTTTTTCTATATGTGCAAAAAGATCTTTATATTCATCTCATTTCTTTTGGATAGAGTCCTACAAGTGTTAATTATAGTAATTACTGAGCTAAATGATTTGAATACTCCTAAGGCTTTTGATATCTATTGCCAAGTTGCTTTTCAGAAAGTTTTAATAGTTGAAACTCTTACTTGTGTGTCAGCATGCCTGTCTCCTTTACCAGTTTTGAGAACTACCATTTTTAGGATATTTGCTAATGTGATAAGAAACAGTATGGTGTGGTTGCTGCTCTCATGTCTCCCCTACCATGATGCACCTTCCCCAGTGCATTCCTAGGAAGGGAATGATTCATGCATGATTCATGGGATTCATGTGTACTAAGGCAACCTGACTTTCCCCTCCTGCTCCTAGAACTCTCCCTCTGCCGTGGGATATTCGTGGTCATCAGCCTTTTTCAGCTCTTTAGAACATGCCATGGAGCAATCTAATCCAATTAGGCCAGCTCTCATCTGAGCCAGGGCCACATCTGGATTTGGCCCTGCTCATTCTTCAGTCGGCGCCACTGCTTCCTATAGCCCACTTCTTTTTTCAAAAAATTTATTTATTTTTGTTTTTTGTGTCCAAGTGTTTTGTCTGCATGTATGTAAGTGCACCAAGTGCATGTAGTACCTGTGGAAGCCAGAGATAGCATTGAATCCTCTGGAACTAGAGTTACAGATGGTTGTTAGGCACCACATGGGTGCTTGGAATTGAACCTGGGGCCTCTACAAGAGCAGCCTGTGCTACTAACTGTTGAGCCATCTCTCTAGTCCCTAAAGCCTACTTCTTGCATACGGATTTTGCAGTTTAGGTGTCAGGTGGTCTTCTAACAATTCTATGTCATGTGTGTGTGTGAACGTGTGCATGTGTGTGTGCGTGCGTGCGTGTGTGTGTGTGTGTGTGTGAAGTGAGACAATGCCTGATAGTCCCATAGCCAGTTGCTCAGACTCTGGTGAGAAGAAAGGATGTGATTTTAGCTCCACTTCCTCGTAGGTCGAATGTCTTCATCTAGCATCAGCCTATAGAACTCTACAAACACCCCCAAGGACTAAGCTTCCTCTGCAGGCTCTTCATCAACCCCCTACTAGATCTGAGAGAGGTTGGAGCAGTCACTCTCCTTTATGCCAGTAATGTCTCTTTACAGGAATCTTTGTCTCTACGCTGTACATTTCAAAGGCTTCCAGCCTTGCAGTGGTTATTGAGCTAAGGGCTACACCATCACAGACTTACTCACTTTTTCCTTCCTTTGGAATGAGGACGTTACTGTAAAGGTCCCCATTTAAACTTTCTGTTTACTATCTGGTTGCTTCATTCTGAAGCTAGAATTTCTGGCTGATATTGCCCTTGGATGTCAATGTTCCCTCCCTCTTCTCAGTTGTTACGGCCCTGCACTGGCTCTTTCCAGCCCTCCTCTCTACCAAAAGAGGTAGCTAGCTGTAACTGGGACATGTGCAGGTCTCTGCACTGATCTTGACAGAAAGGACGAGAATGGGATAGGGAAGTATTTGGGGGAGAAGAACAGCCAGTTAAGAGAATCTGGTTTTCTCGGAGTAACTATTGGAAAGATGGCAAAGTCACGACTGTGGAGTCTAAATGTTGGTCACCTAGGAGAGGAACTCAATAGCAGAGCTTCTTCCTGGGGTTAAAGATCATTAGAAATAAACAGAAATGACAACCAGTGTTGAACACCCTGCTGCTGCCAACCCTCGAGCTTTGAGGCAAGTTTCCAAGTTTCTGTGCCCACAGCCAGGACCCATCTGTGTCTGCTCTGTAGGTTGAAGAGACATAGGGACTTGTTAGGATTTTACATATTTTTTAGGCAAGTTGACTTCAAACATGGCTATGCTGAAGATGATCTTGAACTTCTGATCCTCCTGCCTCTGCCTCGTGAGTGCTGAGATTATAGGCATGAACCAGCAAACCCGGGCATGCAGTGGTAGAGGGTGAACCTTGGCAAGACTTCATACATGCCAAGCAAGCATGCTATCAACTGAGTTACATCCACAGCCTCAGAATTTTAGTTCTTTGCTCTACAAATTTAGTTTCTCAACAAATGGCCATGCTGCCTATAAACATCACCCAAAGGGATATCCTTTCAGAAGCAATCTCATCAGTCATCTCTGCATATGCCCAAGGGCAGGGGCTGCATCTTAGCCTATCTTCTGTTGCTATAACAAAATACCCATGACTGGGAAATTTGTAAAGAGTAGAAATTTATTTTACTCACGGTTTTGGAGAATGGAAAGCCCAAGAGCATGGCAGCATCTGGTGACAGTCCTGCACTGCATGAGAAAGAACATGGTGGAGTGCATCACGCGGGGGAGGCAGAGCCAGGGTGTTAGCTTAGGCTCCCTCTGGTTATAACATCACTAACCATTATCATGGAGCCCCATCCCCTGGGCTCTTCTAATCCCAATTGCCTCCCCAAGGTCTCATGATAAATTTGTGGATTAAGTTTCAACATGAGTTTCAGAGGGAACATTCAAACCATGGTAGGAGAGCCTGCTGGACTCTAGTGTGTGGGAGGGGAGAAAATCTTTCTTAATGTATAAAATAGCATTTGGCTCAAAGACAACAATTTGAGCAATGAATGACTTTAAAATGTTTATATATTATTTTTACTTTATGTATATGAATGTGTTGCCTGCATGTATGTAAGTGCAACTATGTTGTACAGAAGAGGCCATTGGATCCCCTGGAATTGGAGTGTCAGATGGTTGGTTGTTAGCTGCCATGTGGGTGCTAGGAATTGAACCCCGGTCCAATGCAAAAACAGCCAGTGTTCTTAACCACTGAGCCATCTCTCCAGACCCCATGAATGACCTCTTAACAAAAGAAGTTTTCCTTGTAGATATGGCTTCTTTTTGAAATGTTCGAAGTAGTCCAGGGAGGGGTGTTTCACAGAGTACTTGACTTTGCTGACTCTGAATTTTTGCTTTGGTCTGCCTCACTTTCTGCAAATGCTATTATATCTGAAGGCTATGAGAGAAAATGTCTCTCCAGAAACTTCCTTACCAGCAAACACAAACATCTCACCCAAGCAGCCAGGAGCATGAACCAGAAGCTCAAGTTCAACTAACTATCCCATTACGGACAGGGTCTAAAGGTGAAAGAAGACGATAACACTTAAGTGGAGAAAGATATGACCATGGGCAGATTGTTTGAGTTACTGTATGCAAATCACTTGCTTTAGAGTAAGCAACTTTCAATCAAATAAAAGAGATTGAACACACAAATAGAAGTGAGCTTTGTGCTTTTTCATTTGACTGAGTCATACCTGGGCAGGAATTTAGTGGGTGTGGATTTCCTGCATGGACCAAGCTTCAGTACAAAGAAAACATTCAGAGCAGTGACTTTTTGGTTTGTAAGGATTTCAACTGATTCCAGAATTTCATACACTGTATTTTGATCACAATCAGACTTCCCTCCCCCAGTCTCTAGTCCCTCCCCACTACTCTCTACTACCCCCCATTTCAAATTCTCCATTATTATCTATTCTTTTCTTG